GCATACAAATCTGAAAGCCTGTTTTAATATGAAACGGTCAGCAAAAATGTCCCCCAAATTTGAGATTTGGTGGCCTTTTTGGGGGGTTAATCGCAAGCTACATGTACGATATGAATGCAGGCAAAGAAAAAGTGAGGTGACACATATCGTCGCTGTTTTCACGAAGTGACGGTAGTGAAAAAAAATTGCATTCACTTTGCGTTACGATTTTCCTCACTACCGTCACTTCGTGAAAACAAGGACGATATATCCAATGACAATTTGTCAGGTGACCTCCCAAATCGTCTTTCTCTCTTTATTTTCACAGTGCGCCTGATACAGGCTTCTGGCCCGTTCTAATGGTATAGCGGTATTTTGAGTTGCACATATAGTTTCGTTGGGCTTGTGCGTGCTGACTTTTGCATGCCGTATGAATCACGGTTGCACCTGCACCATCTTCCAATGGTGTACACTACCGTAGTAGGACGGTTCTAACTAGGCTTTATGTAACTAATCTAGAGTCTAGATTTTAACTAAAAGGGGCTCATCAAGATGCAATACGCAAGTATTGCCATTGGATCTTGGATCTTGGATTCTTTTCCTCCTAAATACTCCGAAGAAGAGTTTTGACTGGAGGTGGTGGACTAGGCCAGAACCAGATCACTGCTTTGGCTTGGATGCGGCAAGTCACAACCCATACCAAAATGGTACATGGACTATTCTGGTCTCATAATAATCACATACATTACATGTACATATGTACATGTAGTCATAGATACATGTACTGTACATGTACCTGTAGTATCGTAACTCTTATTACATACATAACGTATGGATTATTACTGGTTGAATAGACTATTGTCACTTTTGTCAGAGAAAAGAAGACCATACATGTACATGCAGTGGGAAAAAAAAAAGGAATTAGATAATTCAAGGGAGCTACTATGTATTTATGGAAATAATAGAATTGAGATTCTTCAGTACAAAATGCAATTTCTGAACCCTTCAGAGCTGAATTGCTTTCAGCCCCCTTACAATGTTAGGATGAGCCTTTGAATTGAATTTCAAGATTGGCAGAGAGCCAGCCAGCCCAATGCAATTCAGGAAATCTATTTGACCCTCCTTTCTCCCTGATTATTCTTGGTAGGAAACCCAACCAGGAAACCAGGTTTGCCATTCATAGACTCATTTGCTCCATTCATTTTTTTTAATAGTACAGTGATATACATAGAATATGAAGGGTGTACTTACTCTACATGAATATTATAAAGCAGGTTGGTAATAAACAGGGTATGCTACTATGCTTACCCCAAACAAATCAGATGAAGAATATCATACACCATAATACATTGGGTTCAAAACCTGTGTACCCATCTTTCTTTTACCGGTAAATTGACTTTGTCATCTTGGACTCTCAGGGGCATTGATTTAGAAAGTGATTATAAAGTGACTAACGTAATCAAATTCAGTTATGGTAATGAATTTTATACATATAGTAAAAGCAAAATGTGTTACCCCGCCCACAAATGAATATGGTCTTGAAGAATTATTTTGTTATTTTAGAGGGCAAATATTGTACAGTGTAGGTTAAACTCCATTCCTGTACGATGTACATTACCGGTATACATGTAAACATTATCTTTTAAACAAAATATAAAATATGATACATACCGGTGATAACTAATCCTGTCATGGATTTACATGTACATGTACAGTACATCAGAATTGTATTTGTTGTTGTTGATGTTTTTGGTAGCAATGACTGTTCTTAATTTTCTTTTGATACATGTTTACTGAACAGTTTGCAAATTTGGGCAAATAGTTCTATAATTTAGTTATAATTAATATACTGTAGGAAATGAGGGACCATATTTCTGTTTATACCCTATTCCACTTTCGATATATTTGCTCTTAATATTTGCCTCATCCAAAAATATTGTTCTGATTCTCATTCACAGCTTTGAATTAGTTTCCACAACAGTTCCTAATACTGATATCATTGTTGAATACAAGATAATATAATTTGCTTTATAGCTAGATGTAATAAAAATAAACATACACTGTACATGTATTATGATGTGTACTCCCTCAAATTTACTGATTAATCATTGAGGAGCGAGCGTAGTGAAGGGCCTTATGTTTATTTCCCCTTTTGCTCAGCAATGTGGATATATTATATATTCTCTCTTCCCCCAAATCCCCATGTGATTGTTATGCCTTAGGAGGAGGTTTGAGACTCATCTAGTCTGGCCTGGCCTGGCCTGGCCTAGCCATCCTAGCCTAGCCCACCCTGGCCTAGCCTGGCATGGCATGGAGGGGTGTGTCTACACATGGCTTGGCTTCTTACTGTGGCCGAAATGCTGTTAAAGCCTTTTGGCAGGAAGAGGAAATCTCGCCCGATCCCTGAGCGGAAGGCTCTATTATTCTGGACAAGTGCAACAGGGAAATCTTAAAGGCATCGTTTTAACAATGTTAAATCTGAGATGCATGGCCCTACATGTACATGTACGTGTTATTAGTGTCTTTGATATGGTGTAATATTGAAGCCCTAAAAAAATTGCGCTTCAGAATGATCAATAAGTGCCTCAAAAGAATAAAAAACCTCTGAGTAACCGGTTTTACCATACTTGTTTTCCCCAATAGACTGCAGTGTTATGAAAACCATTAGGTAAACACAAAATTTGGTTTTGATTTCCAATCATAAATATCTTGATAATCAGACAGGCGATCGGCTTGTAAAAGTCATGTGGTTCCTGACTGACCTGAAGGTTTGTAATTATCATTGCAGCATGAGCTAAATCTACATGTAGGATTTTGTTTCAGAATCTGAGACAAAGTAACCGGATCCCTTTAAAGGGATAGTTGAGTTCTGTTTTCAGACTGCAAATGCCTTCAAAGTGCGTGGTTATTGCTCTTATTCTTATCTATGACATTTATAGTGCCCTTTTAGAACCTAAAATTGCTATGAAGGTAATTTTAGACCCCAAAATGTGTGAAATTTAGCCAAAACAATCATACCAATTCAGCTTCACTTTAAAAAAAAACATGGTAACCATCAATACATGAGCCGGCTAATATTATTGTGGGAAAATTATAAGCAACACGAAATATCCATCAAAAAATCCAACATCGGCATTGGCTGAAAGACGACGTAAAAGGCGTTATTTCTTTTTTTTCAACGGTTTTTCAAATTTGTCAAAATATCTAATATTTGTGGTGGTATACAAGTATTAGAAATTGTTATATTTCAGCCGTCTCTGAACCGATTTTGATCAAACAAAGATGAATTTGTCATTTAAATATGTTCTTTCAAATTTGACACTCACTTTTTCATTATCTCACAACAAAATTATTTTGTGTAGCGCCCTCTGCAACAGAACTCAACTATCCCTTTAAGGTTAATAGCAGTCTCAACTACAAATGCCTCACAATGTCTGCTAGCTAGACTTACTTAGTGCACCAGGGAGATTTTTTAGTTTTTAGCAATCTCAACTACAAATTAGTGATGTGGTCAAACGTTTGACCGTCCGGTATCCGACCGTCCATGGCACTATCCGTTTTCAATTTGACGGTTTTGTTAACACACATTTTTTTAAATTTGTGTTTTTATTGGAAAATCAAAAGAAAGCAATACAAATGAGAAACAAAATCACTGAACAAAAACGGAAATGATGACTGGGTTTCACTTTGTTTTATAATATGAAGCTAATAAATCAAATTTTGCCGACATTATAGTCATCATAAGTCAGCCCCGACTGTTGAATGTTGAATTGCAGAGCATGGTAATGTACATGATAACAATCAATTTCAAGATTGCAGAATGCAGATTGAGAAGTTGACTCGTAAAACTAAGTTCCCAGCCTTGAAGTACCGGTACATGCACAATACTTCACTGATGCCATCTAAATAGCTATGAACATGAATACACAACTGTACTACTAGATTCATTAGCTTCATGAACAAAGTGAAACCCAGTCATTGTTCCAATGCATGCCTGACAGTAAAGTCTCCATTTTTTCAGTGATTTTGTTTCTAATAATGAAAATTATTTGTAAATATTGTGATTTCTTATAATTTTCCAATAAAAACACATATAAAAAAGTTATGAAAAAAAAAATAAAAAAAATTTGTTTACCTGGTAACCAAAAACTGTCCAATTTTGACTAGCGTTTAAAGGGAGTTGGAAATATCTGTGATGTTACAGCACTACTTCCTACCATGTGTAGGCCCTGAGATCACCATACAGGCATCTTAAATATACGCCCTTTGATACGCTTATCAATGTTTGTTTATAATAACTTCCTTTGTGTGGAAATGCTATTAGTTTAAAGCATGTGAAAGTAAACTTGAAAACTGACGCCTTCATCATGATCTATTTATTGACACTGTTAAAGGGGCTGTAGCATGGCGTAACTACGTGTCTTTCCTGTGGCCTGACCCGGGGCCAATCGGGTATAATACAACTACGGACGACACGAACGCCGTAGGCCTACATGTACGTATTCACGTGTGTGCAACATACGCAAAACCGAAACGTTAGGAGAATTTTTTGTGAATGCTAGCGCACGCGGACCCGGTTAATCAAGTCCATTTGTTTACGTGCAGTTATCCAAAAGAAGACGTAGATGGCGTCAACCAGTATTTCCCATGCTACAGCTCCTTTAAAAATTGTTGGTGTAGGGAGTGCAGACAAGGCCATTTAATAAATTATGCAGAAGATAAAAACATTGAAACTGAATAACAAGTGAATATTAAACTTGTGCTGCTAAGAAATGAAGATAACTAAAAACCTCCAGACATGCAGACTTATTTTGAAAGTGAAACTAAAGGATGCATGTGGTGACTACCTCTGGCTCTGGCTCTGGACATCATCTCAGTTGATTCCTACATGTACATGTAAATCATATTTGAACACTGACCTATATATTGCCTTGCCCTCTCACTTGCACTTTAAATTTTGTTCATAAACTGCAAGTGATCTGATTCCTGTTTTGCTTTCCTCTCTTGCTTATGATAAACAGGACAAGATAGACTTCCTCAGCTCAGTGGCCCTCTACAAGACCGGCATCAGTTTATGGATAGTAATTAGTGAGTGAGTACACCGTGCCTGCTACTGGCTGCTGGCTGCATGCATGAGGGGCATCATCCATTCACTCTGTGTACCAAGAATGCAGAGCTGAGTGATCAAGGCAGAGTGGGCCGGCATCCTATCCTCTCAACCGACCGATCCTACCATCATGACATTGGGAGTCCTGCTCCATTGAATCACACAGTCAGAGAGTCAGAAGGATTATCAAGGCAGTCAAAGCGGAATAGGAATGCACCCAATGCCACACTGGATGATATGTGTGGGGGTGAATCAACCATGAACTCATTAACATTTTTGTATCGCCTCTGATAATTTGGATTCTCATCTAACGATGGTGTTTTGCCAGTGTTGAAACACTAAAGGGCTGCCGTGCCCTGAAACATTATTTTATCAGACAGGTTCAGATATACACTGGACCCTCTAACATTGGATTTATAGCTGTGGTTGGCCATCGTGTACTGGGGGTATGGCGACGTACAACGTAGGACAAGGATCTTCACCTGAGGTAAGTCTAATCATCATATTCTAGAAATCTTGCCAAATACAATGATTATTAGCCTGAATTAAATTCTTTGATTTAATCTTAAATATTCTATAATGAAAAGTAAATAAAGAAGGGTTATTGAACCTCCTTGTACATTGTGTACTGTACAACTTCATGATCTTTCTCCTGTTTTTAAATTTTGAATCCATTAGGCGTAAAAAAAGAAAGATGTTATATGACCCTTTGCAAACCGCCCCCAAAATCTTGAAATCTACGGTCGGCTTTTAATTTTTTTTTTTATTTAACTGTTTTTTAGGAAAAAAATGTAGCATTCAAAACTGAGAAATACCAGCCCAAAGAGTCAGAAAAAGAAAACAAAATTCTGACCTACCAACCGACCCATGTTTTGACACCTACATGTATAAGGGCAATACAACATCTTTTTTTTTAGGCCTTACATTGTATCTAGTGGTAATATACAGTTTCCGTACATGCAGTTTCTTGTATTGTGCCTCATATGTTTTCAAATGTTTGTACAGGACTGTTTCATTTCCTATCCTTTACAATGTAGGTCAGTGAACTTTTAATCTTGAAGCTGGCCCACATCATTTTTAAGCAATGTCTAATCTGGGATTAAGCGGGATTAAATAGGATTAACTCATCTGCTGTCAGTGCTGACTAGATCTGAATTTAAGATTTGAAGGGGCTTCCTGTATTGGATTGGATTTGGAAGAGCACATTTTAGTCTACCGTAGTTGTCAAGTCACACTTCCAAGACTTTCATACACTATGAACTTGAAGGCCCTACATGTACAATGTACATGAACTGTGTATGTACTGTATGGTGAACTTGTTTGTGTGTATTTGGTAGGTACATGAAGTAGTAGTACTGTAGTAGTAATGGTTTATTGAAATAAAAATCAATCATGGCTCGAAAGCCGAATTACAGGTTTTGTACAATAGAAAAGCAAACATCAAAATTATAGGAAACCTATAGGTGACACCAACACTGCAATACATTACAGTGTAGGCCAACAATGTGTATTTAAAGTTGGCTTTATTTTGGTTGCCTGTGCAGATTCACAAGTTGTATGATGCGTCATAATGGATTATGTATTTGTTGCGAAGACCAATTGGAAGGTGTATGTCCCTGAAATAAGAGATGAAATGATATTTCATTAAAAACACCCCTGGATTCCAGGTAAGCATGTTATTGTACCTTGTGATTTTCCATGACCTATCAAATACTATAGGAGGTTGTGCTATCCTGTAATAGCAGGAAAAGGAAGGGGTGTAACATTTCAAGTAAACATCTCAGCTACATCTGTGAATATACCATAGTACCATAATACCATCATTTATCATCCAGTTCCAAGTCCCTGCTTTGTGTTCCACAAAAAATGACAAAATCATACAGGGAAAGGTCCTTTTCATATGTAGCCGCTTTTTTGTGGAACAAGTTGCCTGAACATCTGAAAAGCACAGGATCCTATAAAACCTTTATCAATTCTCTGAAGACATATCTCTTCACCACTTCATAAATAATCAGAATCATGAACTCAGTGCATTGTTTTTTTCTTTTCTTAAAGTGCATAGAGACATGCAATTTTGCCTATGTGTTATGTGCCATATAAAAATGTTTAATTATTATCAGGTGGGCTGTATCTAATACAGAACACCTTATAATTTTGTTAAAATCGCCTTTATTTATTATTTATTATTTATTTTTCTTAATTCTACCCACTTTTTTGTTAACAAGATAACTTTGAAATGGTTCAATCAAATACCTTGAAATTTGGCACACGTATGAATAGGCATACATGTATGGACAAAACACGGTAAGGTTTTCAACCTTGACCTTGACTAATGATGTCATCTAGGCGCCATTTTGTGAAATTTTCAGAAAATCAACCCATGATCATATCTTCATAACCAAAAGGTATTTATTCTTCATATCTATCATGATTAAGGTCAATATCAGTCCCATTAGTTTCAGGTAAAAAATCGCGCGCGTGCGCGTACGTCCGCACGTCAGCAAACGAATTACAATGACATGGATTCACAAAACACCAAACTGTTTGAGGTTTTAAACTGCAAGCAGTCATTGTACATTATTGCAAATTACTGCAAGCATTCAAAACCTTGAAGTTAATAGGCCATTTTCGTAATGTAACCAAATTAAATGCATAAGTCTTTGTGAAGTGCCTCAATACAAATTATGATAAGAATAATAGTATTTCAATAGACAGAATCCGAACTGCATACATTAGTTGTTGCCAGGTTGGACAAACATTATGGCTTGACCTACCTAGCAACACTTAATACATGCAGTTGCATTCTGACTATTGAAATACAACTGTTCTTACCAGGTGAGTGAAATGATTTGTATTGAGCACAAAGACTTGTGCATTAAATTTAGTTACATTACGAAAATGGCCTATTGTGTCTGTATTAAAGGCATAATAGATATTACATTTAACATAAGATTGCTTGCAGTTTAAAGCAAACTTTTACATGTAAGTTTCAAAAAGCATGCTTATCCCCTGTCCAGGTGCCCAAGGTGCTAAACTACATGTGCAGGATAACCTTTTCAGTCGGTGATGTTTCCGCACAAGAGTAAACGGGAGCGCAAAACATTGCAATTTTTTTTCTAAATGAGGTATTTGTGACAGTGGATTATATGGAAGGGTAACCTGGTCATAGACCAGTGAATTGCTAAGATACGACGAGACATTAACCTTTATTTCAACCCATTATAGGTGAAGGCCTGAGGGCTTTTCATTCATACATATCAGTAGGGTGTGACCATTGTCTCGCTCTGTTTATTATCCGTTGTGATTAATGACACCAAAACAATTCTTCATTAATATAGTATGCCCCGTAAAAATTCCTGATTTTAGTGTCCATCACCTTTATAAATCATAAAAACCTAAAAACGTGTCCTGTATACACATGTACGTACATGTACAAATGTAGGCCTGGCTATAGTGTATTGTCTGTTTGGAACCACAAGGGCGCCAACACATTCGTTTTTAAACTGCAAATAAACAACCTGTATTAATGGACACTGTACACACATGTAGGTATGTGGACTTAACCTGTTTTAGAAGAATAGGCCAAATTTGAATGAACATACATGTACATGTATGGTTTTAACTTTTAAGACTTATTGTTTATTTAAAAAAAAACACCTTTAGATGGACAAAATCATGAACAGTACCCTGTGAGAGAAATAATTGAGATTCTGCAATCTGGGCTATCATGACCATCTTAAACACTGCTGTTTATCTTTTCAAGAGGAAAATGATTTTAAACACATTCTGTCTGAATAATAGATTATTTCCACATGCTTACTAATACTGCACATGAATGATGCAGTCGAGACAATCTGTAGTCTGCTCATACAGACTCTATAATTTGATGCATACAAGATTTTCACTTTGTCTGAAGTAAAGCGTTTTTAATGTAGTCTATGCAGTTCAGACACTGTGCCATATGCAGTGACTGACAGTGGTCCAGCCATGTATCTACTAATAGACTACTGTGGTTTTATTCTGCAATCCTGTCTGAATGTCAAGCCTGTATCTTCTTTGTAGTTCATGTAGGTCCATGATCCAATAGAGCGGTGTGGTCAATCACTCAATGTGAGTAACATGTAGTCTATAAATATGAACATGTACATCGTACGTAATACAGACCCTCAGCTGAAATTCCTGTACATTACATGTACATGTAGAGGTACATTTAAAGTATTAAGTCTTCATATAGTATGTCGAGCTCATAAATATCAGTTCCATTTTGTACAAGTAATCATAATTGATGACTATTTGGAGCTTTAAAATAATAAATCTGAATCATTGATTTATTTTGGTTTAAACAAAAAGTTTGCAAATTGCTTGTGCTTTTATGTACATGTACATTGTATACCAGCATCCTGTCTGTCTCGGTTAACAAGTCCTTGTTTTGTGACACATTGTAGATATTGTGAGCATCTAGACTGACCCTGTTCTGAGGGGTTATTCACAGGGCATTAGTTACAGGTTTTCAAATCTTCTTATGATTGATAGAAAAAATCTATTCAAACTAACAACAAAGCAACTAAACCATAATAAGGCTTACTTCAATCACAGAAAAGTAGCTTGAATATTTAAAGATTGGGCTTAATCAGGAGGGTCGAGCCATTTGAAAAAGAGATGTTATTGATGATAGAGGCAGGATATACCTCGCTAGGAAGTCCACTTTCCTTCCTCATGACACGGCTCTCTATTACACGGAAATTCTTCAAGACAAGAAATAGAAATTAATGGAAAATAAGAACTTCCTGCGGTGCTGGCATGCGTGGATTGTAAAGGAAGTTAAAGAGTCCCAAGCGATTGGAGTGGAGAGCACACAGGGTGCTCAAGCTACTAACTATTTTCATCAATTGTTTTCTAAGAGGGAGAACTATGTTTACAGGTCCTTTAGCGATATGACATGTGCTTTAGGCATTACCGAATCAGCGTACTCCCACCAGTTGGCCTGAAACCCCCTTACTACATCAATCATCTAGGCGCACACATTCCAAAGGTCGTTCATTACCGGAGTCAAGGAAAGAAAATAAAGGAGAAGTTTGGGTCGGTTGGATCAGCAAACTCCTTTTATTGTGTGTTCTACCTCTGAGACGTAGACGGTGAGCACTACGTGTGCTTGTTGTTTGGTGAAGTTGTAGTTTGATGCGGGACGCTTCATAATAGATTCTCTGTAAAGGGAGATGGTGGAGACTTGGACATGGAGTCCTCTCAGATCCCTGTGACTCGATACCAGACTCTTCTTAGGATCCAATTTGGAACATTAATCCAGGCCAAATCTAACAGACAAGATACGAACACAGTGTTGACGGTGTGTTATCCGGAGGAGAAGAAGGAAGAAAGCACCCAAGATTCAAACCCAGTCTTCTATTTCAGGGTGAGCTTGTTGTTGTTGTTGTTGAAATTAATGGCGTTTTCATCGTCGTTGGATGATTTTCGCCAGGCAATGTGAGA